CGGCGGCCACGCTGCCTCCCACGCCCACCACCCACCTCCTGCCCAGCAGCGTGGCTGGCAGCTCTGGGGCCAGGCTGGGCTCAACCCCGGGATGAATTCTGCTTAATTACACGCGTGCTGACAGGGCAGGCTACAGATGTTTGCAATTTGCTTTAAAATGCATCAAAAAAGTTAAAGAGGATGCGTGGAGGGTGGAGGAAGAGAAGTGGATGGGGGAGAGGGGGACAGGGAGAGGTGGGGAGAGAGGGGTATAGGAGAGAGGGGGATGGGTAGAGGTGAGGAGAGAGATGGGGAGAGAGGGGGATGGGAGAGACGGGGCTGGGAGAGGAGGAGGAGTCACAAAGCGGCCACAGGGAACGTCTGTGATGGGTCGGATGGTGGGAAAACGGGTTCCTGTGAAACTTTCAACTTTGCTGGCGTGAGAATGCTCAGGAGCCGCTGGGGAGACCCACCCGCTACACATGGGCCCGGGCCTCGGCACAGCACTGAGCGCCCTTGCGCACGGGGGGCGCCTGGCCCTCTGCCCTGACACCTCAGGAGCGCCCGGGGCTTGTGGCCTGGACGGTCCTCGATCGTGGCCCATAAGAAACACCAATGTGGGGAACACCTATGTCACCCTCCCGGTAGGAGGCAGCCTGGCTGGGGGCTGTCGCCTGTGCTCCGAACACCGGGCATGAGTCCCTCCTGGGCTGGTTACAGCCATTCCCTTGGTTCTGGGAATCCGAGGCCGGTCACCCTCCAAGCCACTGGCCAAGACACTGAGCCAGAGGACAGGCCCGGGGAAGGCGGGGTGTGTGCAGGTGCGGGGTGGGGGTGGGCGGGGCACAGCACATGCTCCCCACTGTTCCCTCCGTTCACACAGACAGTCTGCTCCCCGAGCCCGGCTTCAGGCATAGCGAGGACCCCGCTGCCTCCGGCCCCCGCCCCCCGGCACTTGCTCACGTGCCTTTATTTGAGGGATGTTCAAACCCCATTCTGCCTCTAAAAAGGGGTGTCTGAGCCCTGGCCGGTGTGGCTCAGTGGGCAGAGTGTCGGCCTGTACACTGAGGGTCCCAGGTTTGATTCCTGGTCAGGGCACATGACAAGGTTTCGGGCTCGATCCCCAGTGTGGGGCGTGCAGGAGGCAGCCTATCAGTGATTCTCTCTTATCACTGATGTTTCCCTCTCTCTCCCTCTCTGACGTCAATAAAAATACATTTAAAGAAAGAAATAAACAAAAGGGGTGTCTTAGTCAATGGAGTGTTGGCTAACTGTGGGCCTCAGCCTCCCCACCTCTAAATGGGGTCCCCGAGTTCCCCGTCTTTCTGAGGGCTCCTGGGAGGCTCTACTCGAGCCACGTCAGAAGGGCACACAGGTCACCCCAGGGAGCCAGCACCTCAGGAGGCTGCACCGCAGGCGCCCGGAGG